AATCTCTGTACAACCGGAGCACCTGGAGGAAACCCACGCCAACACAGGGAGAACAAGCAAACATAGAAACGCTAACTGACCCAGCCGATGCTTAAATCAGTGGCCTTTATGCTGTGAGGCAATCTTTCTACCCACTGCGCCACCATTACGCCAGCGTAAAACAAATGCTGGATAAGTTGGCGGTTCATTCCGCTGTGGCGACCCTGGATTAATAAAGGGACTAAGCCAAAAAGAAAAAGAATGGATAATACACAAGGGTTCTGACTTATGCTTTTATTGGTTTTATATATACTGAAACTATATTCACTGTAAGAATGTAAATAAATTAAAATCTGACACAATATGAGATAAAATGATCAGATCAACTGCACAATATTTGGAATATTATTCCCCATAATGCACAAGCCATGCTATTTTATGACTGTGCCTTCACTGTTTTTAATTACAGTACTGAACCCACATTTTTGTCTTTGTTTGGCAGACTGATGCATGCCATTTTTTATGTATTTATTTTTATTTTATTTTATTTTATTTTATTTGTATATTTTTTTTTTAAGTTTTAAAAGTCATATAAACCATCAAACGTTTGTACAAAAAATGGACTAAGAGGCTAAATAAATAATAAATGAATAAAAATATTAGAACATAAAAGGAATTAAAGATAATGTACAACAACAGAGCAGTAGATAGAGCTTAAATGTGTTACAAAAACATCGTTTTATAATGAATACTGAAGGTATAATCAGAGAATATGAGGTAATCATGTGCGGTTTTACTTTCAAATATGCGGTATTAATCCGTCGACTATGTTTACAATTTGGTGCTTTAAATCCTTTTGAACATATTTAAGTGTTGCCTGTTAATCAGATCACGTTTCTGTGCTCGTTATTGCTGTAAATTGAGGGGAAATGATCGATAAAAGTTTCCGATAAACTCCTCTGAGTTTAACAGCAGACGCCACCTGACGCGCGTGCACGCGGATGGAGTCAGATTTCTGTACAGCACAGGCAGCAAAACAACACAACAAACTGACTGAAAACAGCTTTACAGTTAAAGGTTATTCAGACTTAAGCTAGATATGACTCTTATGGTGACATTAACCGTGTTAGTACACTTATGTTGATCGGTTAGTTGTATTCAAAACTTACTCGGACTCTCTGCCATTATAACTCCGTTACGATCCTGAAATAAGTGAAAGTCTATGGCAAGCTGATTTAGCTTAAACTGATCCTATTCGTCACCTGTGCTGAACAACAAACAAGAGTTTCCACTACAAATTCCATTACATTTTAATAAATATGAATTTGATATATGGCATATTCAAACTACATACGGATTCCACATATAGAAAATATGACATATGCAACATATAAAAAAAAAACTTCTGGAATTAAATTGTCATATCTCAGATTATATATCCAAGCATTCAAAATATTACGTTAAACAACATTCTTGGTTTTAACATGCCTCCAATATACAAAGAGGACCAATACAGTTGTCATTAAAAGCAATAATCAGATCATAAAAATACATTTAGTGAACATGTTAAAGTGAAACTGAAGCGGCTTGCCATAAAGACGCTCAAATGACCAAATGTACACGCGCAGAGCAAACTCACCTGCGCCCTCTTGAGGGAGGAAGACGAGCACAGAATCAGTAGATTATCAGAGGAGAGACTGCAGACTCCAATAATATCCAGCTGCAGAACCGCAGAACCACACACGTTTTAGGCACACACAATGTGGCACACACAATCTAGGCAAACCATATGGTTACGACGAATGTTAATGTTATTAATGTCTTTTTGAACATCGTCATCGATGTTAGGGAAAAGCTAAATGTTACAATCTAATGTCATTTAAAACAATTTAATTAGTTTCATTTTAATGCATTAGTGTAGCCAGAAAAATGCCTAAAAAAGATACCAAAATTCACATGTTATTACCGTGAAAATTGGTTAAATTTTGGCACGGATAACACGCAACTCAACATACTATATAACTTTTTTCATCATTTAAAATGTAAAAACAAAGATTTATCTTAGGCTATCATACGTGTGTTTTTTTCGTGATATTGTAAACCATCATAAACCATTATGTTACTAGGCCTACCCGTAATTTTATTTATTAATTATGTAATTTATTAAGCCTTTTTTTAATAGCTTGTTTTCAGGTTATTTTCATTGTAGGGCCATGAGCTACAAGTCAAAACAAACTCGATATGTTGTATTTTAGCTCTTAAAATAGATCTACAATATATTTTATGTTGTTTAATTTTGCATGAGCAAAAAGCAGTATAGCCTAAATGACATTTTTAAAAGATTATCATTCTGCTTACCTGCAGCATGTGAGAGGTTTCTCGGTTGATCCGCGATAAATCCACTTAAGCACTATATTCCATTTATAATACTGCAAACTTGACTTAATAAACGTAAAAGGCATTTATTAAGTGTTATACCTTGACTGCTGCTGCATAATGGGATATTTCTCTACACAACTGTAAAAGTGCGCTTTTTAGCAAAATGAAAGCAAACATTCAGAGAGTTCTGCGTTTTGACAATTTTAGTTTAATTATAATAGTATTAATAATAATATTAATAAATAAATTAAAATATTATTTATAGTGCAGCCTACTGTGGGACTGTGCAGTAAACTATTTGTTTTTATTAAAACATTTTATTAGGCTACATCTTCCCAAATAACTAATAAATGACTGGCAGTTGCGTCTCTGCTAAAATTAATTTAACAGCAAGTTTCTTATGTGTTTTTTCCTTTTAGCGCTCAAGAGAGTTGTGTTTAAATAATTAGTTAACCAAAACATTTAATGAATTAAGCTGCTCCTATCATGTCATCCACCTTTCTCCCTTGTGAGTTGAGTGCGCCTCCATCGCCGTGTGCGCGTTTTAAAGGCTATTTACGGGCGCACCAGACCTGACGCGGGGACCGGATCTCTGAACTATAGGACTAGCTGTAATCTCACCATTTTCATAATTCAATTGCAATGTCATATATTTTAAGATATTTAATTGTGTGTTCTGAAGGTTGGAACGACAGGAGTGTTAGTAATTAATGACAGAAAGAATTTTCAGTTTTGAGTGAACAATCCTTTATAAAAACTGGGGGGGCACAAACTCTTTCTGAGGGGGCAATGCCCCCCTTTGACCCCCCCCCTTTGTTTTTTACTTTTATATTTTACTTTTACTTTTGCTTTCAGTTTGACGGCAGTCTCCGTGAGTAGCTGCCGTCGCTGTTATTAATAAATGTTTTAAAACTGCGTAGGTTCTCTGCCTCCTTCTTCCCGGCGGCCAAAGGGGCCGTGAACTTTATTACAGTGTCCAACATTACACGGTTTATTTTAACAACAAAATAAGTGCATCATCCGAGTATTTAAAGTGCACTTATTTCACACATCCTATGTCATTTCCAATAAATAAATGTCAACAAGACTGGAACTAAAACTCACTGTTATGAAACACAAGAGGCTGTATATTGAAAAAGAGATGTATTTCTATGTTTGTGTGTTTACTTCACTGACTCAAATTACACATTTTAAATATGCTTTTATGCCCTTTTTATTAATGTTTACACCGTAGGTTTTAAAAATGTTTGGAAAAAATGGATGACTACATTTTGTTGTATTTTTTACAAATCAATGTTTTTTTTTTTTTGTTTTTGCCTTTTTTTTGTGTTTTGCAGATGTACTCTTTATTACACAATACAAATCCCAATTGTAATGAAAATGACTAAAAATGAAAAAAAAGTTTTTTAATAGATACTTTTATTCAGCAGAATCAAATTACACAAAGTTAATTTAAAAACACCACATTGCATTAAGCACTATGCTGTGTAAAAACATGGCAAAATAGTTGGTGGTTCATTCCACTGTTGTGACCCCTAATAAATAAGCAACAAATCCATAGGAAAATAAATGAATGAATAAGCACTATGCCAACAGTAAGGTAGGCATATTTCAAAGATTCATACAAGGCATTTAGGAGAACAAAAATAGGGTTACATGAATATTTGACAAATGCATTCACAATCATGCACCTATATGTTATTTAATATATGAAGTAATTAGCTTTTAACACCTTTTAGTTGCCACTATAGAGGATATACATTAAAGTCATTTACCCACATAGAAATACCACAAGTGCCAAATTATATAAAAAAAAATGTAAGCTTTTAATAGCGGCAGCATTAGTATACCACACAGTATATACCAGGTATACCAGTATACCACACAGTTATCCCCTTAAATTACATTTAGTTGTACTTGACAGTTCAATAACCAATAATAATTGTGAGTAAATGGAAAGGAAATGTAATTGTTTGGATGAACGGTGCCTTTACACATTAAATTAAAAAGTATTTCTGTTTCTCTTCTCTGATTCCATATACAAAAAAAATATGATAGTGGAGTGTGTTTCACAGTCTGGTACCTTTATATACTCTCTGAGAACTTTACACATGAAGTATGACTGTGCATGTATTTGAAGGAAAGGAACGGAAAATGGCCATTCTCATAATCATGTCATAATTGCTGAAAGCTAAACAATCATTCAAATTCTGTTGTGATTATTTATTGTCTGGTAGCAAGGGTGCACCTGGTGATTCAGTGGCCCTACATGATGAGTAACTCAACGTAAAGGGAGAATCAACTCTGCTTAGAAATTCAGTCTAAATACAATTTGAGGCCTTGACTCTCTGTGGTTATTAAAAATCCCATGGCACTTCTCATAAAGAGTAGGGGTGTAAGCTGGCAAAAGTCCCTCAATTGGCCCTTAGGATCATGGCCTCCCAATCACACCTATCCACCAAATCACTGTCTCTCCACGACACATATAGCTGGTGTTTGATGAGCGCACTGGCACCATTGTCCTGTGGCTGCCGTCGCATCTTCCAAGTGAATGTTGCACACTGGTGGTGGTGCGGAGAGACCCCCCTCATGATTGTGAAGCGCTTTGGGTGTATGGCCATACATACTAAATGCGCTATATAAATACACATAACATTACATTACAATTTTGGGTCCAAAAAGAGGACATCTCTCCCTTGACTTGCTTGTACTCAACATTTCACACTTCTGTCTGCTTTTGAGCTTGATGAAATCTGATAATCCAAGATACAATATCTTCATGAAAACCAACAACACTTCCAGCAACGGCCCCAATAAAACCTGCACGCTGACTCCATTCACAAGCTCGTCTGGCAGTCTTTGGTAACTGTTCATCAGCTTCTCTTAAAGCTTTAGCTACTTCTTGCTCAAGTTTTTCTCGATATTCCTGCTCTGCTTGCTCTCTAGTTTCACGCTGAATTCTCTCCTTGAGATTTTGCTTTTCTTTCTCGTGTTTTTCTTCCAGGTATTTTATGAGGTTCTGTTGTTGTTCTTCCAAAGCCATTTCTGTCTTCCTTATCTTTTCTTCAAATTGTTTCTGCTGTTCCTCCAGATTTCTCTGAAGCTCCTTTTGTAGTCTTTCATCTTTTTCTTTCTTAATCTCCTCCTCTTTCTTTTTAAACTCCTCTTCACTGTTTCTCAGTTCATTCTGCATAATTTTTCTTTCTCTCTCAGTTTCCTTCTTCATTTGCTCTATTTCTGCTTCATATTTGTCTCTCAGCTCTTCTTCTCTTTTCTTGATTTCCTCTTCTTTCTCTTTCAGGATTCTCTCTTGTTCTTCTCTGATGTTTTTCTCCACCTGCTGAAACATCTCATTGGTGTAGAAACCTCCTCCATTCACTGCCACCATGCGGTCAATCTTCTCCAGCAGTTCAGAAACCTGCGTCAGATCTTTAACCTCATTATTACTGAACACATGGTATCTGCTTTTACACTGATGGATGAGGTTCTGTAAGCTTCTGTCTCCTTCAATAAAATCTTCAATGCTGGTTCCTTTCAGTTCATCTCCTCTGGTGAAGAGCACCATGGTGTACATGCTGGATTGATCACCAAACCTCTCCTGGATGATCTTCACTGCATCTTTTTCCTCTTTGGTGAACCGCCCTAGTTGAATCACCAGCAGAAACACATGTGGTCCTGGTGCTGCCATTGACACACACTTCACAATCGCCTTCATGGTCTCAACATTATCAACTCCAGTGTCGAACAGGCCTGGAGTGTCGATCACGGTTATGCGTCTTGTGTTGAATTCAGTGGTGTCTTTCTGACACTCTTTGGTCACTGATTGTGAAGTCAGAGCTGATTTAAAAGATTTTCTTCTCAGTATAGTGTTTGCTGATGCACTCTTCCCAACACCTGTCTTTCCCAGCAGCACAATCCTCCGATCATCAGCATGTGTTAAACCTTCAAAGAAAGACAACGAGACAAAACAGTTATTTCAAACACACATATAAATTTTGATTTAATGCTACTGCTCCCTTTGACCCTTTACAATATCCCAGCCAAAAGTGAAAATTCCCAGAAAAACAGCAACATTGCTTAAAACATGCATGAATATAGGCACGTAACATAACTAACTGTTTATCATAATGTTGATGACCTTTAACAATAATTGTTGATATAACTTAGTAGCAATGTTAGGAAACATACTTTGAACATTTATGTAATGTGTATTTATGTAGCACATTATCACGTATGGTCATACACCCAAATTGCTTCACAATCATGAGGGGGGTCTCTACACACCACCAACAGTGTGCAGCATCCACTTGGATGATGCTTCAGCAGCCACAGGACAACGGCACCAGAGCTTCACCACACACCAGCTATAGGTGGAGTGGAGAGACAGTGATAGAGCCAATTCAGTAGATGGGGAGAATTGGGAGGCTATTATGGGTAAGGGGCAATGAAGAAAATTTGGCCAGGACACCACGGATACACCCCTACTTTTTACCAGAAGTGCCATGGAATTATTAATGGCCACAGAGAGTCAGGACCTCGATTTAGCATCTCATCCAAAAGATGGCGCCCATTGACAGTGCAGTGTCCCCTTCACTATACAGGGGCATGAGGACTCACACAGACAGCAGGTTGAGCGCCCCCTGCTGGTCTCACTAACACCACTTCTAACAGAAATCTAGCTTTCCCATATGGTCTCCCATCCAGGTACTGACCAGGCCCAGTCCTGCTTAGCTTCAGTAACCAGTCTTGGACTTTAATTCACATGTATACAATGTTAATGATATGTTCTAATAACATTTAGGTGTTAAGGCCTCTGTTGGAGTGTGGATCTACTGTTTAATAGGGTTGGGCCAATAGATGATGCTATCATCCATCGCCAATGGCCAATAGACAATACGATGCTGAGCCGGCAACCCCGATGCTCCGCCTTGCTCCAGTCGCAAACCGCTCATGAAAAATATACACTCAGGCCCTGTTTACAGGGCTACGTCTTAGTGTTAAAATGCCATTTTAGAAGGAAAATGATCCACATCCACACCATGTTTTTTCCTAGTGTTTCTGAACAGCCCTCCGTCTGCTGAAAACGTACATCACGTGACCACACGCACACACAGACACAAGAGGTGCTCACTGCAGAGCCACACACACACACAGCCACGCGCTTCTCTCTCAGAGCTCTAGAGACAGAGAGCAGTGCACGTCATCATCAAGGTTGTACCTATGGATCGTGTCTCACTACAATTGTTAAAAGTGATATTCAGACATCCCAAGTGTCCCGGAATTTCCGGGAGTCTCTATGCATTAGAAGGACTCATAATGCCCGCAAACGAGTGATAATTTCCTGGAAATCGCGCGTCTCCCTCCCAGTCCTCAAATAAGTCACGCACTCTTCAACATATATGGACTAGCCCTGAGAAGGGGGAGTATGCATATAACAAGATGGTTAGCGGAGAGGGAAGACACGGGTCCGCCCGTAAGTGCTGGGGGCCTAGGAGGAAAATATGCAAAGCGCGAACTGGACAAAGTAAGAAAAGGGCTGGGTCTGCCTCCTCCGAGGGCAGCACTTGCAGGCTCACTACCTGGTCTTTAAACGGTGTGGTAGGAACCTTGGGCACATATCCCGGGTGGGGTCTCAGGAAAACGTGAGAGTAAGCCGGCCCGAATTACAGGCACGAGTCATTGACCAAAAAAAAGGCCTCAAGGTCCCCTTAATCGATATCAACGCGACCAGCAGAGCTGTCTTCAGGCACAGAAATCTTAAAGATACTGAGTCGAGGTTAGAAGGAATCTGATGCAATCTCATGAGAACGAGATCCCAAGAGGGCATGAGAGGGGGGCGAAGTGGATTAATTCGCCTGGCGCCTCTGATGAACCGGATGATGAGGTTATGCCTTCCCACAGTCCTGCCAGCCACCGCGTCATGAGAGCAGAGATGGCAGCCACGTAACCTTGAGTGTGGAGGGTGACAGCCTGCTCTCCAGCTACTCTTGGAGTAAAGAAAGCACAACGCTGATCTGGCAAGTTTCGGGGGTCTTCTCTGTGAGAGACGCACCATTCAGTGAATAGACTCCACTTCAGGCATAGGCGCGCTCAAGGAGGGGGTGATGATATTAACGAGTGATGATATTAACCACCGCAATCTGTAGGTTACATAAGTCTTCCTCACGTCTAAGGACCACACGTGGAGGTTCCAAAGATCGGGGCGAGGGTGCCATATGGTGCCCTGTCCCTGAGAGAGTAGGTCCTCTCTCAAAGGGATCTGCCAGGGGAGGGCCATCGCAAGGAGAGAGCTCTGACATCCAGGTCCAGTTGGGCCAGAGGGGCGCAACCAGCAAAACCTGTTCCTCCTCCTCCCTGACCTTGCATAGTAACTGCGCGAGCAGGCTCACTGGGGGAAACGCATATTTGCGCATGCCCCGAGGCCAGCTGTGGGCAAGTGCATTCGTGCCGAGAGAGCCCTCGGTCAGGGAAAAGAATAACTGGCAATGAGCGTTCTCGGGGGAAGCAAACAGATCGATCTGGGCCTCCCCGAATCGCGCCCATATCAGCTGAACAGACTCGGGGTGGAGTCTCCATTCTCTGGGACGTAAAGGCTGCCATGAGAGCGCAATGGCTGCTCGGTAGAGCTTGCCTGGAATGTGAATGGTGCGCAGCGATTTCAGCCACGGATGATTCCATAGGAGCAGATGGCGGGCGAGCTGAGACATGCGACTAGAGGGAATAGCCCCCATGCAGTTGATATACGCCACCGTCGCCGGAAAAAAAAACGGTGGAGAGCGAACACTGCCAACAGCTCCAGGCGATTGATATGCCAATGCAACTGGGTTCCTTTCCACAGGCCCGCAGCTGCATGCCCGCAGCACACAGCCCCCCAGCCCGTGCTGAAAGAACGAGGGGTCGTTCCAAGGGCTGAAGGCGCGGCAACACAGCGCAGTAACAGTGACTCGGTGTGTACCCGTGTGCCATGCGCATCTGGGCACTCGACCGTGAAGCCAGTATTGGAGTGGTCTTATATGGAGTAATCCGAGCGGCGTGACAGCGGCTGCGGATGCCATATGTCCCAGGAGCCTCTGAAAAAATTTCAGTGGGACCACTATTTTGTTGTCGAGCTCTCCCAGCCAGTCATCGAGATAATTGAGGATGCGGATGTCCGCGAGCCGAAGGGGCGCTAAGGCACCCTCCACAAGCTTGGTGAAGACCCGGCGGAGACAGAGAAAGCCCAAAGGGAAGGACTTTGTATTGCCAAGCTCGACCTTCGAACGCAAACCGCAGAAACTGACAGTGGTGAGGAAGAATGGAGATGGGGATAACAAACCAATCCCGAGGACGAACGCGCCGGAAGATGCGCTTCTGCGTAAGCATTCTGAACGGCAGCTTGTGTAGATAGTGGTTCAAAACACACAGATCTAGGATTGGCCGTGACCCCCGCTCTTTTTGGACACGATGAAGTACGGGCTGTAAAATCCGCTCTCCATCTCGGCTGGAGGGAGCGGCTCGATTGCATCCTTCGCCAGGAGGACAGCAATCTTCTCTCGCAAGACAGGGGCGGACAGGGGGCTGACCCTGGTGAAATACACACCCGTGAACTTGGGGGGCCATTTCGTGAACTAAATCACATAGCCGAGTCTAATTATGCGTATGAGCCATCGCGAAAGGCTGATCCGCGCTGACCAGGCAGGCAGAGCTCCTGCTAATGGAGTCACCGCTACAATCTCTGATGTACCAGCAGTGGGGCAGCGCGGAGTGGGTGTGCTGATCCGGGAAGCGCGAGGGTCCCGCGGAGATGCTGGAGGTGAGAGATTTGCTCTCACTTTGCACCCAAACTGCGGAGGGGAGGCTCGAGGGGTGGGAGAAAGGAGACCATCCTCCCAGTGCTCGTGAGCCACTGGCGAAATGCACCTAACCTGCGAGCTAGAAGCATAGCGTCCCAGACTGGCAGATTTCAGGCTGTCACATCCGGGGAAGTGGAAAAGTGCTCTTTCATTGATGTTTTCAGTGGCAAGTGCCGTTGGAAATGGGGAAAGAGTGGGGAAAGAGCAAGTTCCAGTGGGGAAAGAGCAAGTTCCCTCTTCTCCAGATGACCTGTCCCAGGGATGCTTCGCAGTCCGTTTACCGGACTTAGCGGCACTCTTGGCAGGGGGGGGCTGCCTGCTTTCAAGGTGCTCGACACGCTCGTTTCGCCGGAGGCGTGTGCGGGGGCGGGGCAGCTCTTGTAGGTGGGCACCTTCGGCGAGGAGGAGCAGATATGGATGATTCGGCGGACAGAGTGGCTTTACGGTCCCGCCGATAGGTGACATTACCCATCGCCTCAGACTGCTCTCTCACCGCCTTGAATTCCTGGGTGAATTAACAGACGGTGTCGCTGAACAGGCCAGCTTTGGATATGGGGGAGTCAAGAAAGCGGACTTTGTCGACTTCGCCCATATCAGCCAAGTTTAGCCAGAGGTGGCGCTCCTGGACCACTAATGTGGACATTGTCCTCCCCCAGAGGCGACGGATAATCTCCCACTGAAACCCTCAGATCTGCCCAACTACCCGCTGCAGTGCAGGGGACAGCTGGGGTGGTTCGCCCTTTTGCAAGGGCTAGCCGCGATCTTAACTGCGCAACAGTCATGGCATCGCAATGATGACATGAACTGCCCGCGAGCAGCGCATTAACATGCTGGACCCCCCAGACATGCAACCCAGTGCTCCTGCCCATCATCCGGAGACAGGAAACCACTGCATCCAGAAACGCACAGTCGGAGCGCCATCCTGAAAAGGACGTGCTGCACGACTGTGTTGCTCTTTTAGGAAATTCGCAACTTATATGCACCGCTCTGAAGGACCCGACCTAAAGAACGTCAGGCAAGGGAGAAACCCAGCTCGACGGTCTGCCACTGCGTGTACACACTCTGGAAATCGCTGGATATCAGCAGGAGGAACCCTCATCGACTCTCATCGACTATAACCTACCATTCTGGATTACATAACTGCAAAGACGGACCAATTTTTCTCTGACTACTCCAATGAACCAGACCTCATCATACCTCTTGCACTGAGACCCTATGTACATTCCTCGCAAAGGCAAACCATCCTGGGCACCGCTCACAATCTACCAGGCTCTGGACATCCAGGTAGAGAAAGGAACCTCTTAATCCTTCAAGATCATTAATGTTAGACCAGTATGAATATATTTAAATATCACTACATTTAACTGAAATCAGTTCCATATAATATCAGCTGCATGACAGTCCCAAAATGTAATTGAACTTCTCATACCCAGTGACAGAATATTAATTTTCCTTCAGCTTAGTCCTTATTTATCAGAGGTCACCACAGTGAAATGAACCACCAACTATTTTTTTATATTCACACACACACTCATACACTATGGCCAATCTAGTTCATCAATTCACCTATAGCGCATGTGTTTGGACTGTGAGGGAAACCAGAGGAAACCCACGCCAATATGGGGAGAACATGCAAACTCTACACAGAAATGCAAATTGGTTCAGTCGGGACTCGAACCAGAGACCTTCTTGCTGTGAGGTGACTGTGTTAACCACTAAGCCACCTCTTGACAGAATACCCTGTCAGAAAAGTTGTGGCCGGGTACAGGGTACAACATGGGGTAGGAGCATAAAGTAGAATTGGGATTGAGCCAAGTCACCAATATCTAGGATAGCTAGGTGAGAGTAACCGGCACAATAAGACGTGTTTTCCAGATTTCTGCCAAGTTGTTTAAATAGCAAATTCATTTGTGCCGCTTTGTGGACTCATGGGTGTTTCGGTCTAGATAAGAGTTGTGTTAAGGCGCATTGCTGGCACATTGCTATTTTGAGGAACTAAAAGAATTAAAGGACTAAAATATTACAAAAAGTATTATTTTCTACATCAACATAAAAACCACTGTTTCAATGTCTTCTTCACCCTGGGAGGCTTTTTCAGTTTACTCATGATAATTTGCTTTTGTATAATGTTATTATTATTAGCAGTATTATTTATTATATCCATATTTGTATTTGTTTAATTAAAAACAAGCTTAGATTTGCCCACCTGCAGGTTTTAGACCATATGGGGCACAGCATGTATATTAGGATTTAACTCAGTATTTTGAGCTTACTTCGTTATTATTGTTCATTTATTCGTTTGCTGGAAATTAGAACTGAATATAGAAATAGTTTCGACACCAATCTTTGCGCTAAACAAACTAAATTAATTATGTATTGCTAATGGATGTCTGTGTGTACAACACGTTTATTCTGAAAAAAAAACTGACAGTAATTTAGAATTACACTACACTGATCCAGTTACTATGACCATTTATGTGAAGCTGCTTTGACACAATCTACATTGTAAAAGCGCTATACAAATAAAGCTGAATTGAATTGAATTCACGAGAGCGTGAGTGAAAGTAAATAATGAGGAGGCTCATCTCTCATTCTCGCGCTGTAGATGCTCTGTTTAACTGTTTTCTCTCTAGTGAAGCGTTCAGTTTTTACATTTAAAAAAGACTGCCATGTACTGTAAATAGCAACTGCGCTATGGTGCAATGCAACTGACTCTTAAAGGGAATGGGAGATGAGACTCTAATTGTTTTTTTCTCAAAACACACCTATAACCCATTAAGACAATAAGCTCAACCCTGTTAGACCATGCAGCACAACGCAGAGCAGATTTTTCCGTCCTTAAAATAACAACATGCAACAACATACATGCTCTTAATGCTTTTGAGCCCTGCGCTTTAGACTTTGTGCTTAGATTGTTAAAAAAGAACCCAAAGACAAATGATAATTTTGAGTAAACTATCCCTTCAAACAAAAACACAGCATATGTTATACATAAAAGGAGTTCCAGGGTCACAGAAGTTAGTTTTCTCCTTTGAGTACTGAATTAAACTCATTTATAATATGAAGGATTTGAAATGGCAATGTTATCTGCATTCAAGTCATGTAGGAAAGATTATTTTTCTGAACACCTGAACACTTGTCCAATTTATTCTGCAATGAGTGATCACCATTCCCCATGGCACAATGTAATTGGGAGCATATATACTCTGCATTTTGTCTGTGTTTACCGGCAAAAATACCTCTGACATGCAATTAGGCAGTGGGAATTCTAAATTACTGTCAAGTTTCTTTCAGTTTATTTGCAGTTGCTCAAACTCTAATTTTTAGTTTTTCAAAACACTAATTTTTGGTAGAAAGGTGGGAACCGGCTAATACTCAACCACTTTAATCATAAAATAAACAAAAGTAACCATCCTGAGCTTCTCTGCGGGTATAGAGACCAATTACAGATCTTGTGCTCTGCGTTGTTGTGAAGTTAAAGCGCATGCAATTGTGAAAAGGCTACTATACACTCAATGCAGAAGTGTAACGTGGCCTTTAGATAAGCTTGTACCTGCTGCTAATTGAGGTTTTGTATTAGATTTCTTCAGTTCCTCTATTTCAGCCTTGTATTTGTTTCTCTCCATCTCTATCTGAGCTTGAAAGAGCATGAAGGATGTGTAGAAACTCCCTCTGTTCTCTTGCACCATGTTCTCCACATACTGCAGCAGATCAGGAATCTGTGAGCTGTTCCCCAAAACAAACTGTCGAGCTCCAAATGTTTGAATAAAGCTATCAATGTGTGTAATGCGGCTTCTACTACTAATAAGTTTACTCAGAATGCTCTTCTCTTGCATTATAAGGACTATGATGTGTTTGTTGATACTGGAGCTGAAAATCTTCTGGATCTCTTCCATTTCTGCTTTATCTTCATGAGTCACTGGAGCATCATTAATAATGTAGAGGAAAGCATGAACTCCAGGATCACAGAGAGACAAACACTGGTGAGACTGTTGCACTTTCTCCTCTGAGAGATGACTTAGAGCTGGAAGCTCCAGCACATTAATCAGACAATCATGAAGATCCACAGCTTTCCTCACACACTCCTTCTGATATAAGGGAGGAAGAAATGTCTTTTTCCCGTTTATAAGTTTTGATATGGAGGCCTTCAGTCTTCCATCACTTCCACACAGCACCAAGTTCAGATTCTGCTTTTTGGTGACTTGTACACTTCCTTAACAACAACAACATAATAGGTTATCACTAGATTTCAGATGTATAGATTACATTGATTTGATGTGTTACATAAATGCATACGTTACCCTTGACTTGATCATGCTCTGTTCTTGATTCTGGATTACTGACTGTAATATAAATACATGAATATGTAATTGTCAGTCTCCAACTTATGCAGGCAATGTCAAGGCAAAAACAAAATAGATGGAATAGATAATCATTTTGTGATACTAAAAGAGCTATGAGAATCTTCACAGTGAACTATGATGGTTTGTGTGTGTTTTTGATGCTTCCAAGTAAGAGCACCCTCTGGCC